TCGTTGATCTAGCTGAGAGACTAGGAGTCCAGTTGGAGACAGTGGCCATGGGGTCTCCAGAGGGATATTCTCTAGCTGATCGAGCCGTAGCAGCGGTTACGAAGCAACAGGTGGGATGACTACGATACTGCTAGTTGGAGTCTCAGTTTGTCAGGGTCGCTGGGCTTTGCTTACTAATATGCATCTCTGCCTACCCTACTTCCGCACTCTAGATAGGAAACTTCCAACTCATCCTCAAGGCAACTTCAAGCTCTTCATCACGCTTGATATTGAGGCATGCTCTGGCCAAGCTCTACCGGATACCCTCATGAAGTCGGCCCGGATATTGATGTTCGAGGCGCCTACTGGTGTTAGACCATCACTTCAGAGAAGCTACGCAGAGGTAATTGGGCACTACCCATATTATGGATGGTAGGGAGCCAATAACACTCAGGTACTACTACCAGCGCGTGTCCAGAGGGGGCCAGTAGAACGGAACCGATTACACTTCCTCCTGGCCTGGCTACATGCCATTGTATTGGAAAGGGTGAGGTAATATGAATGGTTCTCCGGCATGTGTGGGGGGTTGCTTTTAACAGCTTATTATAGGTACGCTCCTGTTGGATGGACCAAGGAGTTCGATTTTTCAGAGGCTGATCTATCTTGTGCAGTTGAATTGACTGATAAGTAGTAGTGGCAACTACGGCATCATGGGTATGACACTCCCTACAGATGGTTAGATGAGGCGCTTGAAGCATCATCGTCATCAGAAGACAATCCAACTAAGCGGAGGCTCATCAATATCGATCCGGCTAAGATACCATGGGAGGCTATAAGGACCACCCTCATCGATGTGGTGTAAGATAAGGATAGTCCTCCTCCTACTCCTGCTGCTGCTGCTGCTGCCCTCGATTATAGCTTCTAAGGTATGGTGGACGGTTGGACAATGATACAGACCGTGAGGCTCTAACATCAATCGTGGAGTATCTCTTCTCACCAAAGGCTTATCATAAGGATTTCTTACTCAATCCTGGTGCTGTGGATGGTGATGGGGTAAGTCGGTTACATGTTGAGCGATATGAAGATATCAAGCCCCCCCCTCTAATGAGCAGGTGCTGCTTCGTGTACCAGATGCTCGTAAACGAGAGGACTTCCTAACCGTCATCGACACCTTATTCACAGGCAAACCCACACCTCAATGGGTTGGGCTCCAGCCTGAGGTGGAGAATTACTTGAAGGCCCGGAGAGCTGGTAGATGCCTGGCTATGTGGTTGCAACTCCGATCGTGATGGTATCTACCGTGGGAGGACCGTCACTAACTTCTCTTTTTAATTAGCTATTATTACCTACATCAATCCATGAAGTTTCCCTTGAGAAAATAGGCTTTAGTTGGGCAGCGAGATAGGCTTTGGTTTCTTCAGTTTTGACGTTGACTTCTCTATGAGGTTTGGTCGAAAACTAGCATTAGCCCTTCAGAACGATACAGAAGATGCTCCGTTCATCTCCCATAAGCATTTGAAGGAGATACTCAGCCGGCAGGTTCGTGAGATACGCTCTCTGAATGACATGGCCAATAAGGAATCCCAGGAGGCTAATTCAAGCAAAGAGGTTGGGAGCTGGTGCTGTGGATGCTCATTCTATGCTTCTACCGCAGACCATCAGAATTATGGACAGTCATTTCTTTGCTACGATGGACTCTGACGTAGAGGCTATGCTTGCCTACATTGGCACCAAACAAGAGGGTCTGGCCCGTAGTGTTGCAGCTCTTGTGGTTAGAGCTCAACAAGCTGGCTTGATCGATCAAGACAATCAACCACCTAATGGGATGCTCAATTCCACATTGACCCAGGTAATAAGGTTGAAGTTAATGTTGATGATGAGGACAATTATCATCTTAGGTATGCGTTGTGATGTCTCAACTTGGGAGTCTACTGAGCGGGTATTTAGTACAGTGCGCCGCCTACTCCCAACT